TCTCCGTCACTACGAAGGAGTTTTATGTCTAAGATATGGAGAACATTTTTAGTTCTATATTCTCTGCTAGTCCATTCAAGTTACTTGTGTAATGTATTGTTTGTGAGAACGGAACCAGTTGTATTCTCTATTGTTTGCTATTTATGTCTAGCTGTACAATTTCAATTTGTGTTCCTCATCATTCTCTTTAAATTGCTTGAATTATCATGCAAAGTTTTGAAAGGCAAAGCATTTCACAATAAGAGGATATACTTTGTGGCATTTATTCTGACATTCTTTCTAACTGGGTATGGTTTCACAAACTCGCAAAAGCCACCTGTGATAAAAAATGTAAGAATTCCAATCAGAAATCTACCTCAGAAACTGGAAGGCTTTACAATAACATTGTTGTCTGATATACATCTTGGAGTAACAGTAGGAAAGAGCAAATTGGACAGAATCGTTTCCATGGTAAACGGTCTAAATACAGGTAAATGTTTTTGAAGGGTTAGAGTTAAGGTGTTATATAATACTATATTATTGAAATTTGCTCTCGCAAAAATAGAATGATGCAAAAATAGAATTAGGAATGCAGATTATTAAAGATTCTTAAAAAAGACTATGAAGATTTCCCAATTTTGACAACTCTGTGTCAATATAATTTTCTCTCTGCAGATACTGTGGTTATTGTTGGTGATCTGGTTGATGGTCCAGTGGAAGAGTTGAGAGAGTCTTCTAAAAGCCTTACCAATATCAAATCAAGATACGGGATACATTATGTGACAGGTAGCAGATTTTCCATTATGAGAGTAAATTTTTATTGTAGCTCAAACATAACACATTCCTGCGAACAAGAGAGAGAGAGAGAGGAAATATTGAATTCCATGTAGGGCTAGTAACAATTAATGTGGGGCTGGAAACAATATTTGGTACAGAGAATTGTTAGTAACCTGATACATCTATCTGTTTTTGGTGATGTTTTTTACTTGTTTTCTAAACAGAGTTCAAAATATGAGTTTTTAGTACCGTAATTATTGGGACAAATTATTGGGATCGGTATAAACCCAACAGATCTCAATTAACCTATAGTGTTCCGAATCCCCTTCTACTTCTCAAATGAACAATAGTGGATTCAGAACACTAGTTTTAGTATTAAAAGCTGAAGATATAATTCTAATTAGATTGGGTGTAATAAAAGTCCATCCCATCAATATCTCTCCTAACTTTTGGTCAAAAAGTCCACAATTTTTTTTTTCAATGAATTTGTATCAGCAAAGCTATCCCCAAATATTGGACAAAGTGCAACACAGTAGGGACGTGTATGGCTGGAACATTATGTGTACCTAGTAAATGGTACCAAGTTACCAGTAAGGGGAGGGGAAAAATATCCAACTGAGAATGGAGAGAAGTCTTATGAAGCTTCGTTGTAGGCTAATTAGTAGTTAAATTAATTTGCACTCAAAATCTTGACTCTTCACTGGATCCACCCTTGTTACAAGTTTAGCAGTGTATTTTTCTATACTTGTTGATTTCAGGGAATCATGAGTACTATACCATGGATGCCAATAACTGGTTAGCCCACCTGGATTCTCTAGGAATCAAGGTCCTCCACAACAGTAATAGACAGATCCCCCCAGGAGTGGATCCAAAGGAGCAGATGTGTATGGCTGGAACCGATGACATTGAGGCAGACAGGATAATGTATAAAACTCAAAAACTCATAATTATTTTAATAGTAAAAAAAAATAAAATTATAATACAGATAATAAAACATTTTATCTATTGGTACACACTTATTTTAAGTGAATCTTTTATACCAGCAACATTTGAATAAGAATACTGAAAGTTTACCACAGATAATTTTGAAATATTTATACTCTAGGCCTATAGTAATTTTTGTAAACAGGAATATAGATAAATCAGTTAATAAATTAATTTGCAAAATTAAGGTATGATCACCATGGATTCAAACTGGACAAAGCTGTAAAGGGATGTAATCCAGGGCAACCCATCATCCTCTTGGCACATCAACCTAAAGCTGCTAAAATGGCACTTCAGTCTGATCACCATATAGACCTAGTCCTCTCAGGTACAATAAATTAAATGCTTGGAGAAAAGAAAGATATTCATCAATGCACTAAAACAGCAGACGGAACTGTTTTTTCTTGAAACTTTAAAAAATTTTCATCTCTCTGACTCAGTGATATCTTTTTTTCATTGAATTTCAAATTGAAATTTAAGCTTCCCAGTTATCCAACTTGAAACAAGCTGTATTCTTATTTCTAGTTGGACATCCAGTGAATTCATATCTTTGATTGCTGCTATAAACCCATAATGTCAAAGCAGAAGCAATTTCAAACTGATAGTATATCCTGGTTTAAATGATTTATTCCAATCTGCTATCCATTTGTCCAATAGATTTAAAAAAAAAAAGTATTAATCTTACATAACAATGCATATAAAAATAATCATATAACAATAAATATATTTAAAATTTTTTGTAGGTCACACACATGGTGGGCAATTTCCTCCAGTGGTTTTTGGAGCCTACCTCTTTAATCCATTCTATGCTGGATTATATCGCTATGGAGACAACAGCCATGTTTATGTTTCCATGGGAACAGTATACTGGGGCTTTCCAGTTCGCATCATGACAACTCAGGAAATTACATTCATTACTTTACATGCTGTCTGAACAAACATTCTTTCATTTTTTTTTTCTTGATCTCAAGATTTTAAAATTGAATGTATTTAAGAGTGTGTGCTTTTGATGTGTTCCTAAATCATGGATTTATGGCTGTCTCCAGACATTGTGCTATACTGGATACGTACTGTTTTTATTAGTCATTGTTTATCAGTTAAGTTGAAGTCTTACCACAGTTTGCAGACTTACCGGTACATATTTTGTAATATTGATTCATTTCCTTTGACCAAGGAGGATAAAGATTATTCTTCTGCACAGAGTCTTAAGAGAAAGATTATCTATACACACAAAATGTAAGTAATCCTTAAGGATTCAATAATCTTAATTATGTAACATACCTAAGAAATATAGAGATATAATTGACCATCAGTAAAATGCAAGATGTTTGGGGCTTTAAGTTTTGTTGTAATTTGTTGTATATAGCAGTTAAACTTCAGTGTCTTGAATACCAATATATCAAATAAATACCATGGGTATGTCAAAGTAATTTGGAAGTGCCAACCACTTATCATTTATTCTTGAATCTTCAGAGTTTTTTGTCGGCCTAGACTCAGTCAGTCCCATCGAGTTTGTGATAATAAAGTTTTACTGTATCTAAATTATAAGAACTTGAGAATTTGTTTTTATTGTTTTGTGCCTTACAGTACTTTTAAATATGAAATCTTTGTACACCATGCAGACATTTTATCAGCATCGTGTTTCATATACATGTATAAATGTAATTCAGGGTCCAGTTTTACAAAAGAACTTACGACTAAGACCAACATATAATTCCACTTATTACTTTCTATGGAACACTAATTTGGATTTTGTTTTAATAGTTTTAAAAAGAATTAAGAAAGGTACATTTATGCTATCAATTTTAAATAGAATAATTTATTTTGAAAAATTATACAATCAACTGATGTATTTGGTCTTAGTCATAAGTTCTTTTGTAAAACGGGCCCCAGAATATTTCCACATAATTTGAATATCATATTTATTATTACATTCAGTAAGGTTATGCTTTTTTTCCTAGCTGGATTCCAAATAATACCCAGTGAATTTGAAAATACTAGTATACCAAAGATTGGCTTTGAGATTGGATGGCAATTAAATAATTGAATTTAATTAAATTTTAGATGAGATTTATCATTATAGTCATAAAGACTAAAGTTATTAGTTTTCATAATCTTCAAGACTGGTATTTTATGATATGTACTTACGTTTTTATGTTAAACAGCATCTGCATGCAACACTTCAGGTACTAAATATAAGTCCATAGCTGCATGCAGATCTGTTCTCCTTATAGCAAATATACTGTAAACATATTACATTTAGCTGTGTACCGGTATTATTTTTAGCGCCTTTCGCGGAAAGAAACTTCTGCTAAATCAAGTACAACGCCACGTCTTGCACATATAAACATAAATAAGAAGTGCACCAAATCAAATCTATGCTAAATTGTTCAAAAATCAATTTCCACCAAATATCATACACGCTAAATATAATACATTTACAGTATACTACACTTTTTTTCAACACAGATAATATGGAGTAAATTAAGACACATGCATCTTTGAACTAAGACAATGTCTTAAGTTAAGATTTTAATTTCCTTCCATTTAATCCATTTCAATACAGGTACAGGTATATTCGTTTGATTTTATTTATGTGACTGTCATTCTTTGTTGATTTTGAGTGCCATTGCAGGGATTATTACTTGAATTTCATATCAACATGTATAATATGTGTTTAATCATTCTGCACTTTGTTTCATGTACATTTTAGGAACATTTGTTAAAAACTGCACTCTGTTTAATGTACTAGTACGTTGTAGGAATTAATATTTGTTAAAATCTTGTTCATAAATAAAAAGAAACAAAACTACATTACCTTTCATTATATTTAATTTTTATGTAAATACAAATTGCAACAGCAGTTATATGTAAATACAGACTTATAATAAAAAGTATTGAATAGAAAAGAGAGAAATAAGAAGCCTCAAAATGCAAGAAATCTTTAAATTTGTAAATGATGTACAAATTCAGACCCCCCCCCCCTTCTCTCTCTCTCTTACACACACACACACAGGCACCAAGACTAATAAACTAATAAATATTAATTTACACACTAAAAAAAAGGTTATAATAATTGACACATACCAATACATATATCTACACTAGATCTTTTTCTGAGGAACACTGAAATGTACATGTCATTTGAAAAAGTTTTCAACAAAAAGATTTCAATTTACGAAGCATCAAACAGACCATATTTATTTATTATGCTTACAGAGAAATGCAGATTTAAAAAAAAAAGGCATCCCTGTTTACAAATAATGCATAAATTGGGCACCCTGACAAACAAAATTACATGCCTAAATGTAATGTATCTAAATTGTATTACTAAAAACCTTTAAGAGAAAATTTAACTTATGCAATTAAATTCATTAATAACTTACAGAGCCACACCATGTTAGCACCATTAAAATATTACACAAGTGATGTGCTGGTTTTATATAAGCACTCATTATGTCTCATTTAGATCCTGCAGACGTTGTTATTTTTAAGTCTGTGTTTGGGCTGGTCTTGGTTTGGGAGGAATCTTCCTCATTTCATAGTACTGCACCACTTGTTGTGGAACCTCTGCCAAAACATTGCGTGCCAACTCAGCACTAGCAGACTGAAAATTAACATAACATCATTTAAGATCTTGAAAAATACATGTATTCAGAAAAAATGTGAAAAGGTGGGGGTGTTTTGAAAGGTTTTTTAAAGTTGTCTGTGGTTAAGAAATTGTGGATTGATCTCCAATGCTTTCTACAAACATTTTGATCAATTCCTCCTTTTGAAAAATAGGAAGACATTGTAATCCTAATTAGCTTTATGATAAAGGATATTATGAAAAAAAAATCTCCTGTATATTTAACACAACTGAAACTTACAGATCCAAAGAAACAGTGCAATTACATGTATTAAGATTTTATGTAATTTGTATCTCAATGTACATTTTAAAATTAATCCCTTTGCTGCTACTCTTCAGAAATGCAAGAAACTCATGTGATGGAGACAAGGGTTAAGGATCCTTAATGCTGCAGTGGCAAAATGGGAAAATGCCTCATTAATATCAAAAACACGTAAAACTTGAAATACATGTACAATGTACAATGAAACCTTATTACGGTAGTTTTGATCATCACTTCAATTTTATTCTCCATAATCAAAATAAATCCAGATTAGAAATATTATTTGTGCTTTGAAGCAGATAAATATGTAATGACTTCTTCATTCAATCAAGTCTATTAATTCTTTGAAAGGGTATATTTTTGTTTATATGTTTTACCCTTTAGTAACAAACTAAATACTTCTGAACATTTACTGAGAGGGGGGCTTATAAGAGTTCTTTCCCTTGTCACACTCTTTTGGAGCGTTCTGACTAATTGAAATAACTAGATCTTTATAAACTAACTAATGAATAATCCTAATTCTAGCTCTAATGTTGTCAAGGTACAATCTTACAAAGAGCAGGCATTACTAAAATAATTCTTAAACTCAAAGAGAAAACTGTAGAAGTACTACTTGTGCATTTTACGAAATGTGTTATAGAATTTATTCACATTGCTAACTGTATGATTAAGCTCAAAGCCACAATCACTGTGCAGGACAGATAAGTGTCTCTGCAAGGAAAATTCAAACTCTACTAACCTCAAGGTTCTTCTGAAATCATTGAAAAATATTTTTTCATGGGAATGCTGAATTTTTTTTTTGTTCATTCTTATTCAAACAACCCTATTAAAATTTAATCTATGTTTTCTCAAAATGTCATTTCAAAGTTTAATTAATACATGCATTTTGTCTTTTTATTTACACATACGATACATTTGCTACTACGGTAAATTTCAATTAATCCACAAGATATTTACTTGCGCACTCAATATGCAAGATTATCTTGCAAGTGTTTGTCAATTAAAGAAGCAACTTTAAAATATTACTGTGTGGAGAATTCTCACAATTATTGTTAAAAAATGCAGCGATATTGTCCAGCAAAATAAACGTAACATGAAATATGATTTATCATATGTTTCTCAGTTTTTGGGGAACAAAAAGAGTATTGATTTACATACCATCCTGAAGTCTCTAAAAGGCACAAACTGAACGATATCCCTCAACGCTGGTTTGCCATTGGCCCCCTTTAGAACTCCATCATCCCCATCTAGAAAGTTCATATCAGTGAAGTCTGCATCCCCTACCCCCACAATGATGAGGGACATAGGCAGGCCTGAGGCATAAACAATGGCATCTCTAGTCTTGTCCATATCAGTGATTATACCATCTGTTAACAGGAGTAGGATAAAATAGGCCTGAAAGGAGTATTATCATCTGTTAACAGGAGTAGGATAAAATAGGGCTGAAAGGAGTATGTATCATCTGTTAACAGGAGTAGGATAAAATAGACCTGAAAGGAATATGTACCTCTTAACAGGAAGAGGATAAAATAGACCTGAAAGGAGTATGAATCATCTGTTAACAAGAGTAGGATAAAATAGGGCTGAAAGGAGTATGAATCATCTGTTAACAAGAGTAGGATAAAATAGGGCTGAAAGGAGTATGTATCATCTGTTAACAGGAGTAGGATAAAATAGACCTGAAAGGAATATGTACCTCTTAACAGGAAGAGGATAAAATAGACCTGAAAGGAATATGTATCATCTGTTAACAGTAGGATAAAATAGGCCTGAAAGGGTTACGTATCATTGGTTAATAGGAGGCCATGAAAGAGTATATATCATCTGTGAACAGGAGTAGGATAAAATATGCCAGAAATGAGTATGTATAATCTGGTCAGAAGTAATTCAGAAAATTGTAAATTTACATTGATGGAATCACAGTTTAGCACACTCTTAACCATAAACATTATATCACACGATAAACTTTCAGAGCCTTGTTAGCTGGGGTGAAATGATCTATGGCATAGGAAAGCCCTTTCTCATCTGTGCAAAAGTTTCAGCCAAGGTTAATGTTTTTGAAAAGTAGATCAAACTTCAAGGTCAAAAATCATAGTAAATTTGGAAAGGTCTTGTCACAGGTAATGCACTTGTAAAGTATGAAAGCCTGTCTTTTCAGCTGCAAAAGCTACTGCTATGCATGGTTAATATTGTTGAAAAGTATGTCAAACTTCAAGGTCAAGGTTATGAGGTCAAAAATTATATACATTTGGAACAGTCTTGTCACAGATAATTCATATGTAAAATACATGTTCACATGAAAGCCCTGTCTCTTAAGGTGCAAAAGCTGCGACCAAAGTTCAAATATTTGAAAAGAAAGTTTAACTTCAAGGGTCACGAGGTCAACATTCAGAAAGGACTTGTCAAAGATAATGCATGTTCAATAGGAAAGCCTTATCTTTACTCATTCAAAAGTTATGACCAAGGTCAAAGTTTTTTGCAACAGACAGGCAGACACAAAGCTAGAGAGACAAACAGACAGCTAAATAGGTGGACATACAGATGAATGAGATTTAATGTCACACAAAAATGAAGGACAAATATATGATTATACATGAATAAACATAATTATATTAATGACAAATGAGTAGCAAAAGGCTGTTGCAAAAAGCATATCAATTCAAGCAAGTATATTATTATCTTCATACAGATTACATTTGCTCCCTTTGAAATAAATATTTGTATAATATGTAAACCAACATGTGCCCCTTTTGTGCCTTCCTCCCTCTGTGCCTGCTCAGCAAACCTGGCCACATGGTATATGATGGGGGCTACATTAGTGGGTCCATAGAGGGCCACCCTCTGTATGCATGCTTTGTAGGCTTCAAGGACACCACCAATCCCTACAAGAAATAAAATTGTCAATTCTATACAGGTACGTTTATAGGTTCCATGACTTGTTCAAGTTTATATTTAATTTTTTATTGGAAAATTAAATAAGTAAATGCACATTATTGATAACTGGGAGATGGGTAAAGTTTATTTATAGTTACTTCTTTCCCATGCACCTTCACAATGTCAAGGCTTAGCGATTACATACCTCACACAAAACCTTGAACTTGTGAGAGGTAAATTATCACAATAACAACAATAATTCTACACTTTCTTCAAGTTGACTTACCTGCACAGTATGGGTTGCTGGGGTTGAAATTGATGGCAAACTCCATGGAAACAGTTCCATCAGGAAGTTTAGCACCAAATCCTAGGGCAGGAAACAATTTATCCCTAAAAAAATGACAAGTCTTTTCTTATCATGAAAAAGATTTTTAAAAAGATATATTAATATATAAGAAGTTTGTACCTCACACACGAGAATTTTTACAGGAAAATTAAGGGCTGAAAATTCATCCAAGCAAACAGTATAAAATTTCATGGTTCTTTTCATAAACCTAACTATTGAAAAACTCTCACTGGGAAAATTATTATTATTATTCCTTGAAAAAATTTTCTAGTAAATAGGTCATTGCTGTCAAATTTTGCCCTGTACAAGTTGCTGAAATTGTGTACATTTTAATTATACATTAGAATTCTTATGGAAAATCTTGAACGTAAACAGAGGGTTGATGTTATTTTCTTTAGTTTGTAGTCTGATAAATGTATAAAGAGCTAAAACAGATGATAAAATAATTCAGAAATGTAGATAGGTCTGTCTTACGTATCATAATCCTGGCAGACATTGCCCACGGCCTGTATAGCTTGCATGTATTCATTAGGTTGGTAGGGATTAATATAATGTAAAGAATTAGGGCTACTTGGGTTTCCATTTGATCCAGTGAAATCAATTCCCACCTGAAAAAATTGGTCAAAAGCAACAAAACAAGGTAAATGTATTAAATGGTATGTTAAAATGGACAGGTCAGGTTTTTAAAACAAGAGGCCCAAGGGCCTTAACGGTCACCTGAGTATGATACAATAATTTGCATTATGCATAGAGTATAAAATGAACTGAAAGGTGAAGCTTTGTTGCCCGAAAGAAAAAAAAAATGGGTGATCATGATCAACAACATAATTGGTCTTAATATTCAATAACAGTTCATAAATTAGGTTCTAATCTGTTCCCCATTTATCACTATCACCATACAGTATATTAACAAATTATAAATGCTTCTGTACTATTTTAATCCCTTGTTGAAATCTCTTACATTGGCCTCTCTTGGTCTTTGATGAATATTTAAAAAGACAAGTTATTTTTGTCTCATTTTTATTTATCTACTACTTACAAGTCTATCTGATCATTAAAACAATGAAAGTACTTTTTGTATTATACAATAAAAGTTCTTGCATAATTCTCTTATTCTATTTACCTTTCAAGTACATTATTTACAGTGATAAATTATCAAAAGTAAATGGCAAAGGGGAATAACTCCTCTCAGTAGAATACAAACTAATAGAGCCCTGGCCAGGACCAGAACACTTGACCAAATGGTCCAGATGTTCAAAATTCTGGTAAAAATTCCCTTCCTTATAAAAATTTTACTCTATTTGCCTCAGATATGCTCAGGTGTGGAGAAGATTTTTAAAGAAATAATGCATTTTTACTACAGATTCATTATATTACATGTATCAATAGAGCCCCCCCCCCCCCCCCCAACCAAAACACCAGAGCTTCTGACCCTGGGGCCTTAAGTTTGCTCATCATAACTAATCACTTTGTTTATCTGCTTAACCCTAAGGAGCAAACAGGATTATTTAATAGAATTAATGCATTTTCGCTATATTATCAAGAGCCCCACCCTCACACCAGCACATCTGACCCAGGGGTCATGAAATTCACTACTCTGAAAGAAGCACTCCTGCTCATCATAACTATACACTTAGCTTCTTTGCTTTTTTAACCAGAAGCAGAAAAGAATATTTTCAAAGAAATTTTGCTTTTTCACTTTATAAGCAATAGAAGCCCCCCCTCCCCCCTCACCAGAACCCTTTAAGCTGGGGTCATAAAATTCACAATTTTGGAAGAGGCATCCTTGCGTACCATAACAATGTACTTAGTCTGTTTAAACAATACTCAGGGGCAGAGAAGAAGATTTTCAAAGAAATAATTCACCTTCACTATAGGATCTATATAGCCCGCCCTAGCACCAGAACTCGTCCCCAGGGCCATGAATTTCACAATTTTGGAAGAGGCATCCTTGCTTATCATAACAATGTAGTTAGTTTGTTTAAATAATACCCAGGTGCAGAGAAAAAGATTTTAAAGAATTAAAACATTTTCACTTTATTATCAATAGAGCCCCGCCCTAACACCAGAACCCCTGATCCAGGGGCCACGAATTTCTCAATTTTGGAAGAGGCATCCTTGATTATCATAACTATGTATTTAATGTGTTTCAATAATACCCAGGAGTAGAGAAGAAGATTTTCAAAGAATTAATGCATTTTCACTATATAATCAATAGAGCCCCACCCTAACACCAGCACACCTGACCCAGGGGCCATGAAATTCATAATTTTTGAAGAGGCACTCTTGCTCATGATAACTATGTACTTAATTAGTTTATCTAATACCCAGGAGCAGAGAAAAAGATTTTCAATGAATTAATGCATTTTCACTATATAATCAATAGAGCCCCGCCCTAACACCAGAACCCCTGCCCCTGGGACCATGAAATTCACAATTTTGGAAGAGGCACTCTTGCTCATCATAACTATGTACTTGGTTACTGAATTTAATACCAAGGAGCAGAGAAGAAGATTTTCAAAGAATTAATGCTTTTTTCACAATATAATCTATAGAGCCCCATCCTAACACCAGAACCCCTGCCCCTGGGGCCATGAATTTCACAATTTTGGAAGAGGCACTCTTACTCATCATAACTATATACTTAGTTAGTTTATTTAATACCCAGGAGCAGAGAAGAAGATTTTCAAAGAATTAATGCATTTTCACTATATAATCAATAGAGCCCCACCCTAACACCAGAATCCCTGACCCTGGGGCCATGAATTTCACAATTTTGGAAGAGGCACTCTTACTCATCATAACTATATACTTAGTTAGTTTATTTAATACCCAGGAGCAGAGAAGAAGATTTTCAAAGAAATAATGCACTTTCACTATATGATCTATATAGCCCCGCCCTAGCACCAGAACCCCTGACCCTGGGGCCATGAATTTCATAATTTTGGTAGAGGACTCAATGCTTATTACAATGATGCCAACACTTTGACTGCTTGATGTCCAGGAGTAAAGAAGAAGATTTTTAAAGATTGCATTAATTTTGGTGGTTTTACCCCCACCCCTCAGGCCCCAGGGGGGGGGCAGGGACCATGAAATTCACAATTTTTGTTCCCCTTTACCCATAGATGCTATATGCCAAATTTGGTTGAAATTGGTTGAGCGGTTTCAGAGAAGAAGCTAAAAATGTTCAAATGTTAACGCACATCGCATGACGCACGCCGACGGACAAAAACGGATAGCAATAGGTCACCTGAGTGACTCAGGTGACCTAAAAAAATGCAACCAACATATAATCTTATTTTTAATAGATATTGCATGGCATCTCAAGCTAATTTGACAGTCACAGTACATGTATTTATTGATTCAAAACAAGATAAAATATGACATAGAAATGGATATTGCATATATGGCAGTTATCACTTGTGCAATACTAACTTACTGTGAAGTTTATCTGCATTCCCCCATAAACAAATTCCAGGAATGATGGTCTCTTGAAAATCTAAAAAATAAAGATATCTTTGTAGGATTATGATGCCCCCCACTAATAGCCAATCTAACAACAGTCCATGCTTGATGGGTCACATTGCTCACCTGATTCAATATTTTTCATCTTCCTCCCTGGCTATGTCGCAATTAATGAGCAGCTTAAATTTACACAACATAGGCATGCATGTGATGCATTTAAGTTGGCTATTACCAGTAAAGTCTTTTTTGTAACAACATATTTCATATTTTTCAAATCCTTTATGAAATATTGACCTTATATTTAGCCCCATCAAAACCGTTGGGGTTATGCTTTGAAAAAATCATACCTAAGCAACTTGCATATCAATCTGAATTATTTTCTGCTTTGTTGTTCATTAACAGAAGAAGGTCTGTTTTAAACAGACTTGCATGTACATACTACTTACAAATCTTCCACTTTAGCTTTGTTTTCTAGAACAGTAGTTCTTGGGAAACAGATTGTTGTATGACCTCATCCCATTCTTTCATATTTATTGTTTATTTCCCCTTAGAAAATTGTTACCTAACTTGAATTCCCTTCAACCAGGAATGAGTCTATGGCAATTTTGGATTACACTGACTGTAATTCTTGAGAAAAAGTAAATGTGAACTTTACAGAGGAAACAAAGACAGAAAGATCATCAAAACAGTTGGCTAAGGTGAACTAAAATTCAATGAAATCTAGTGTAATTCAAATAGAGTCATAGTATTAAAGCCAATCTAAATGAAACTTGGAATGGATCTTGTACTGGAACATCATACAACACAACTTATAACTGAATAGTTGCAATGGAAAATGTCCAGATAAATACATTTTTGGAGAAATTTTTGCAACTGTAAGACAAGGACTGGTATCAATATGAAAGAAATTCACTCCTCATTGAAGAAACACTGAAACCAACAAATCCGAGAGAGAGAAACATAGGTGAATTATCATAGATCTTTCAATTTTGCAAACTTTGATGGGTGGAATGATCTAATTACCTTAAGTTCAGTAAGGTGTATAACTCCTGAGTTCTGGTACTTCTTTTTGGACTGTTTCTTTGGATTAATACAAGGGTAACTGGCCTGCAAAAACAATTATAAACAAAAAACGTGTAATTAAATCTGAGGTAATGAATTTCAATGAACAGTTTGCAGTGACCTTAAAAAATATCTGATAAGGTGAAAAATATACACAAAGGAAAATCAATTGTATTAAAAGCTTTCAAATATGATAATTGAAAGGTGAATTCAATATTCTCTGTTTAACAATCAACTTAAAGAGAGATTTTAATTGATCTTTTACTTTTATCAACGAAAATGAAATTTGTCTTGCTATGAACTGTATCGAGAATGCTAACAAATCAATATTTGAACATTGAAATTCATTTATCCAATATATATTTATGCTTATTCATTTCCCTTAGTTACAAGAGTACACATTTCACAGGCAACTGATGAAATTCATTTAAAAAGCACTCTTTTCTCAGCTTGTACAAAGCAACACCCACTTGTATGCAAAATATTTAGTTTTTAACCTTCAAATTTATGTCCAGATATATTTTTGATCTGAAATCAAGAGCGTTTTTAATACTACAGGTGAGATTAAAGTCTTAATCATTGTTTGTCTACATTAAGTATAAACAAAGCATATAAACTTCATTGAGAAATGAATATCATTGCCCTATAAGTAGGGGGTGAGCAAACAAATCTGCGGAAGTTTATTGACCTAATTCAGCCCTGCTGACTCGGCTCAGTGTTTAAATAAGTGTACAAAAGTGGGAATAAAATCAGAATAAAACTTCTAGCTACATTTCATGGAACAGCGACTGCACATATTTACAATCTACTTCAACCATCTCTGCTTCATATCAGTGTTAAACTGACATTTTAAGGTAAGATGCTTAACCTTTAAACATTTAAATTTAAACAAGAGGCCCATGGGCCACATCGCTCACCTGAGCACACTGGCTAGATTAAGGCACAAATTAGTTCAGTAATGAACGGGGGGGGGGGGGGGGGGGGGGGGGGGGGGGGGGGGGGGCTTGAATTTTAAACTACCTGATGATGCTTTCATGTCAATATAACAAATGAATTTGTTGTACTTGAGAAGATTTTAAAAGAAATTTCCCATTTATTCCTTTGTAAAAATTTGATCCCCCATTGTAGCTCCTCCCTATCTCATGGGTCATCATTTGAACAAACTTGAATCTACATTACCCGAGGATGCTTCCATATCAATAAGACTAACATAGCTTTTCTGTTCTTGAGAAGAATTTTTTTTTTCTATATGTTCTTATGTAAAACTTTCAATCCCCCATTGGGCCTCACCCTACCCCCGGGGGTCATCATTTGAACAAAATTGAATCTACACTACCCGAGGATGCTTCCATATAAATTTGACTCATCATGGCTTTGCTGTTCTTGAGAAGAAGATTTTTCCTATATATTTCTATGTAAAACTTTGATCCTCCATTGTGGCCCCACCCTACCCCCGGGAGCCATGATTTGAACAAAATTGAATCTACACTTCCTGAGGATGCATCCATATAAATATGACTCTTCATGGCTTTACTGTTCTTGAGAAGAAGATTTTTAAAGATTTTTCCTGTATATTTCTATGCAAAATTTGGATCCTCCATTGTGGCCCCGCCCTACCCCCGGGGGTCATGATTTGAACAAACTTGAATCTACACTACCTGAGGATGCTTCCATATAAATATGACTCTTCATGGCTTTACTGTTCTTGAGAAGATTTTTAAAGATTTTTCCTATATATTTCTATGTAAAATTTTGATCCTCCATTGTGGCCCCGCCCTACCCCCGGGGGTCATGATTTGAACAAAATTGAATTTACACTTCCTGAGGATGCTTCCATATAAATATGACTCTTCATGGCTTTACTGTTCTTGAGAAGAAGATTTTTCCTATATATTTCTATGAAAAAATTTGATCCTCCATTGTGGCCCCGCCCTACCCCGGGGGTCATGATTTGAGCAAATTTGAATCTACACTACCTGAGGATACTTCCATATAAATATGACTCTTCATGGCTTTACTGTTCTTGAGAAGAAGATTTTTCCTATATATTTCTATGTAAAACTTTGATCCTCCATTGTGGCCCCGCCCTACCCCCGGGAGCCATGATTTGAACAAAATTGAATCTACACTTCCTGAGGATGCATCCATATAAATATGACTCTTCATGGCTTTACTGTTCTTGAGAAGAAGATTTTTAAAGATTTTTCCTGTATATTTCTATGCAAAATTTGGATCCTCCATTGTGGCCCCGCCCTACCCCCGGGGGTCATGATTTGAACAAACTTGAATCTACACTACCTGAGGATGCTTCCATATAAATATGACTCTTCATGGCTTTACTGTTCTTGAAAAGAAGATTTTTAAAGATTTTTCCTATATATTTCTATGTAAAATTTTGATCCTCCATTGTGGCCCCGCCCTACCCCCGGGGGTCATGATTTGAACAAAATTGAATTTACACTTCCTGAGGATGCTTCCATATAAATATGACTCTTCATGGCTTTACTGTTCTTGAGAAGAAGATTTTCCTATATATTTCTATGTAAAACTTTGATCCTCAATTGTGGCCCCACCCTACCCCCGGGGGTCATGATTTGAACAAATTTGAATCTACACTACCTGAGGATACTTCCACATAAATATGACTCTTCATGGCTTTACTGTTCTTGAGAAGAAGATTTTTAAAGATTTTTCCTATATATTTCTATGCAAAATTTTGATCCTCCATTGTGGCCCCGCCCTACCCCCAGGGGTCATGATTTGAACAAAATTGAATCTACACTTCCTGAGGATGCATCCATATAAATATGACTCTTCATGGCTTTACTGTTCTTGAGAAGGAGATTTTTAAAGATTTTTCCTATATATTTCTATGTAAAACTTTGATCCTCCATTGTGGCCCCGCCCTACCCCCGGGGTCATGATTTGAACAAACTTGAATCTACACTACCTGAGGATGCTTCCGTATAAATATGACTCTTCATGGCTGTACTGTTCTTGAAAAGAAGATTTTTAAAGATTTTTCCTATATATTTCTATGTAAAACTTTGATCCTCCATTGTGGCCCCGCCCTACCCCCGGGGGTCATGATTTGAACAAACTTGAATCTACACTACCTGGGGATGCTTCCATATGAGTTTCATCTTTCCTGGCCCTGTGGTTCTTGAGAAGAAGATTTTTTAAAGATGCTATTCATTTTTCACTAATTCTTAATTATCTCCCCTTGAAAGAGGGTGTGGCCCTTCATTTGAACAAACTTGAATCCCCTTCACCCAAGGATGCTTTGTGGCAAGTTTGGTTGAAATTGGCCCAGTGGTTCTGGAGAAGAAGTCGAAAATGTGAAAAGTTTACAGACAGACGGACAGACGGACTACAGACAAAATGTGATCAGAAAAGCTCACTTGAGCTTTCAGCTCAGGTGAGCTAAAAAGTTTCTAGACTGGCCTGCCTGCCTGATATGCGTGATATACACTGGAAATACCAGTTTTAAAAAAGTTTCTAGATTGTAAAATTAACTGCTTATAAACACCTCTTTAACTTTCACAACATACATGTACCATTTAGGTACATTTACAAGTTGATTTTTATATAGACATGAATTATCTGTTAAATGTTGGTGAAGGTAAAAGTGTTATTGAGAAGGATATGGGAAAAGGGTCTCAAATTAAACAGCTGAAAATGCCAAAATCTAAAAGGTCCTCAACTGAAGTAAACAGATTCTGAGCCAATATATTTCAAATAATTATTTATATATATTATCACATTTTCTCAGCTGAATTTGCTAACTTTATAAAAATTGCCTCTTTGTACCTTTTTAAAGGGTACAGAGGTGTACAATGGACTTCATAATGAAAGAAAATATTTTTCATCCCCAATTCCCTCATGTTCTTTACGTGCTTTTCAAAAGTGCATCTGACATAAAAATTTAAATCTAGATATTTCTACTCAACAAAGAAATTCTAACGTAAAGGTAAATGATTCAGAACAGTGCATTATAATAATAAAATTCCTTGATCAATGAAGCAACAAAATCACTTCAGTATTCATCGATTTGATTTTCTAGGGATATTTACTCATCAATGTTGACACATTTCATTTTAAGGTGAAAGACATAAATGGGGTCACTCTAACTATTTCTGTTTGCTCTGGTCACTGACTGGTGTTTGTAATATTTGCCGTGTTTGTGTGTTAGCCAGAGTTTGGGTGGAGTCTGTGGTGTGATATAGACATCGTCATAGTGATCTGTAAACATCAATAACTTTGTGTGTGTAACAGGATTATAGACTTACTATCGTAAAGTTGGAATGTAAAATAGTTTTAAATATCTTTTAAGGTAAGAAATGATCAAGTGATTAAAATTGACTAATTGACTCAAATGCAGAGAATATTTATTGTCAATCATTAACATTTTTGAATTTTTCAGGTAATTATGATTGCATAAACACACTCTGTACTTTTTTATGTCATTAATTTAAGAATTTTTTTTACATTATATTGAATCTATTTGATGTGATTTTTAAACATAAATTGGGAATACACAGAAATTTATAATACTTTTCATTACACTTAATCAATAATGCAATTTTGGTGAGTTGATAATTAAAGAAAAATATATACCGGTACAGTGTATAAGACAATTTTGAGAAAAAAAATTTAACAGTAAATTTCATTAGTCAGTATCTAAAAACAAATTCCTTTTAATGCATATTGCTTCATCTTTTCAGATTAGAGCATTAGAATTATAATCAACACTTGATTGATCAATGCATAGCAATATGTGTTACATATTGACATTAAAACCTCTGATAACATTTGTCCAAACAATAGTTTTTTAGTAAGCTGCAACTAACTCTCACAAAAAAAAACATGGATCATAATTTATTTTCAATCAATACATATCAACAGCTGTGAGCATATCCTACAGGTTTCAGGACAACATTACTGTACTTATAGGATGCTGTCATTCATTTCCCCTTTATCATATATTCAGCAATACATGTAGATACTGAATTTGTCGGCATACTGTTTAATGACTCACTTTCTCCTGTTTGGAAATTGCAACTAATTGTAAGTAGAGTTTAAAATTACTGGGTACGGAAAAGCAATGACCTTTTTTTGCCTGTATAATTCAACTGGCAAACACTGAAGTGACTTTTATCAGTGACTTTTATCAGAAGTAATCTCTGATTATATTTTTGGATAGTGTGAATGTACTAGTTTGTATATGGCAGGACAATCAATGAACCCCTGACAGACTTCTCACCAAAGACAATAGTCACTAAAACAAACTTAAAAGATCACAAAGATTCCTTTTGGGGTTTTTTCATGAACTATTGCACAGGAATTTTTTAAACTTGTAAATGAAAGTAGCTAAGTCTGAATTGTCTCATGGCAAACTTAATAACAAAGATAAATAATATAATAACTTTTACTATATTGCACCAATTTAGATTGGGGGGGGGGGGGGGGTTAAGCATGTTAAATCATTTAAAAAAATGTTGGTATTCAAAGCTTTAGAAATTCTACTCCTGATTGATAAAAAAAACCCTGTCCTATTAGGAATGTTTAATATATAACCATTATAAATTCATTGTGTTTTGTAAATTTGTTGTTACGCATTTAAAAAAAATATTCAATTCTAGTTACCACCCCATTTCTCTTTCAAATCAAAATGCACTGTTTGAACATGCATTAAAATTTAACTGTTGTTCTCCACTTTATTTATATGGCTTGTAAAATGAGTGGGAGCCATATGATAGATAAAGTCGGTTGGTTCTCTTTGAAACTCCTAGACAACATGGTCATTTAAAGTAGCCTGGTCAACACTTGGACAATAAAATCATTAGAACTTTATGATTAATACCTTGATATGCCAACTGGCAAAATTTGATACTACTAGGTTTCTTACAATCATCACAACCATTCATGACAACCAGCTTATAGGAATCCATCATCCACAGTATCAATATTCTGATTGGATACCTCCCCCCCCCCCCCCCCCACAAGAAACAAGTTGTTATCATACATACATAAACCATCAATTGCACACCATTTTTATGGCATATATGTACCCTCTGCTCAACCATAGCAGTTTTTGTAAAAGAGTGCACTGTCTGTAAACTTTACATTTGCTGAATAAAGCCTTTGGAAATATATAAAACAGTCCTTAAAAACCATTAGGCTATGCATTCTATAAATCACTCAGTACTTTCAATGTTGACAATGCTTTCAATACTTGACTATTATAGTTAAGAATGTTGTTTGCTAAAAATGTTAAATCAATGGGATTATGTGATGAATATTGCAGTCTGTTTTGGATACATGGTAAATACTTCTTGCTAGCTACACCTGCATTAAAAGTGCAAAAAATATTATCGATGTAATTTTTTAAAAGTACATGTATTTAGCATGCCATTTTGAATCCCCACCCTCAAAGTAAATATAAAAAAAGAGATGACTTGTTGCTTAAAAAGTGCAGTGTATATTGCTATGCAATTAAATCAATAGTTTGATATGTACGCTATTAATAAGCAATAAAACAGCTGTTAGAAAGGGGTGAATGGAGTTACGGTAAGTTCAAAGTTTAATCCCCCAACTCTGAGAGACACAACTAAAACACGAAGTATTAATTGATAATTTTTTTCTCAATACTCTAAGGTATATAAATTTCACATAAAATTATAAATATACAATGATTTTTTTCTTTTCAGATTATCACACAACAAACTGACAAACATTCTCAATGGGCCAGGGCGAGGGTCAGGGTGAGGGAAAAGGAGCAGGGGACCTGTGCCCCGGGCTGATCTGGGCCATTCTGTGGTTTCTAATCCTGTGGTTTTTGGCGTGGCCTATTGCTTTCTTTATAGCCTGGTTGTACGTGTTCCTGCTCCCATTCTCAGCGTGCATAGAACCAATGAAGGGTGTGTGCGAGGCTATTCTAGGGGTTCTACAACTACCCCTCACGTGTGCAGAGAACATGATTGCCATGAAACCAATATGTGGTGGATAGACAACTAGACTGCTATAGACATTTAAATGACTTATTTTAGTTGTTTTTAAATTAAGTTGTAATGCAAAAAAGTGCTATGGAATATAAACTAACTATGAATCTGTTTAGCAATAATATTTATTAAATTTATAACACTGTATCAAGTTTGGGTTACAAATTGCCAAGATAAAGGTGCTATTGTTATTGAATAACTGTTACATATACAGTACAAATGTACGAGGGGTGATCCAAAAGTTCGCGAACTAACTGAATTACTTCAATAAAAGAAATAAAATTAGGTTTGAGTGTTCATTATTTTTTGAAGTAGTCCTCTCTGAATTTAATGCACATCTTCCACCTTTCTGCCCATGCGCGAAATCACGTGATGAAGGCGGTCACGTGACATGCTCTGTGGCGTTCTGTTCACAGAAGCTAAAAGATTCTTCTGAGTCCTATATTTCTTACCCTGCAAGTTATTTTTTATCACAAAAAATGTTCATTTGTCAGAAATGGCCGAATCTCGAAAATAGGATGAGTGAATAAGGATGTCCTATCCCAGAATGAGCATAGTAACCATCACAACCCGAGTTCTCTGTCTTAGGAACGTCGTTTATATATTATATGAATATAGTACAGGCACCTTCTTTTTATCATATCTGATATGTTTAAAGTTTAAAATAAACAATATTTTAGGGATTTAAAAATTATATTATTGTTAAGATATTCAACTATTTTTCTAACTATTACTTGGTGATCTTTCATAACAAATTGCTCAACTAAAGACAGATCTCTTCCCCAGCTTGCTTTCACTAGGCAACAGAACAAACATCATTTTTAACCATCCCCCTTCCCTCACTAAAATAATCAATCCAATTAATGATTGAACTTCTGGCAAGTCTTTTGTCTTCATAAACCTTGTACAAATTATCATATGCTACTGCAAAAGAATTTCCAAGATATACGTTAAACTTTACAGCCGTTCGTTGCTCAAGTACGACCGAGTCAACTATTTTTTGTCACAAAGCACCTACATTGTGACGTCATTTAACATTGTGACATCACAAACATGTAGCAAAACATTACATAACATCTGCTATTTATAGAACATATGTATGACTATATTTGTTCCAAATTTTATTCCAGTCTGAACTGTGGTTTTCTAAATATAGAGATAGTTTGCAAACTTTTTGATCACCCCTCGTATATTATGAATAAATACTATTCAGTTTTGAAAGGTGAAATTTTATATCTTGGATGAAGTTCCTATAAGTAATTAAAAATGTGGGTGATCTATTGAGTAATGTGTACAGGCAGTATATCTCTATTATATTATTCTTCTTTGTCACAATGAGTTGACAGTTTTCACTCTTAAAATAACTCCAGGATTGTTTAATATCATGGGTTTTATTATGTTAACATCCTGTAACTATGATAAAAAAAAGTTTTTATCATAAAGTATGGAGAAGTAACTGGAAAGAGACAAAAATTGTGTTGTAATACACCTGTACAGATATTCACATTGCTGCAGATCAGAATGATTTAAATGCTGATGCAGTGAGGGTAGTTATAGTTTACTCTAAAATCAGATGGAGGCAAAAATAATCTAACCAATACCAATGATCAATCTTTAAAAGCCACTTTTACACTTCATTTTATTACTTCAAATTGACAAAACTTTAAGCAACAAACTTAACTTTCTCTCTCAAATGAAGATAAGATATGGTATGATTGCTACAAAGGGAAATAACTCCTAGCAGAATAAAGAAGTATAGAAGTATGTGAGACAAACCTGCTTTCCCCCTTGTGTGTTAGACTCCATATCTGCTAATGTAGTTGTGAATGTTCCAATGAAATCATGTGACCCATCACTGTCATAATCATAGCAATCAAACTGCAAGAATCAAAAAGACAGATAAATGCAAGTTTTTAGCAGTAGAAATTAAGAGGTATACCAGTATACAACATTATGGTGGCATATTTTTGCAACTACTCATCAGATGATTATTAGACCTGTCAGATGTTTATGTCGTCTCGACTTGTCAGATGATTATGTCAATTTAACAGATTTTTATGTTGACTTGTCACTTATTCACGTTACATCCAGTTGATGATGCATTTTTCTCACAAGTCAATATAAGGATCTGAGAAGTCAACATAAAGATCTGACAAGCTTAATAACTTTCTAGCGAGTCATCACTATTATCTGACAAGCTGACATAAACATCTGACAAGTGGACATAATTATCTCACAGGTTGACGTAACATCTTACATGTCAACAACATAATCTGAGAGGTCAACATATCATCATCATCACAAGCAATGGATTTTGTGGAAATAAAATGGACACAGAACTTCTGGTCTGTGACAATGACATAACATCTAACATGTCAACTTCAGATGATTATGTGCACTTGTCTGATAATCAAGTTAACTTGTTGGACTTATTATCAACTTGTCAGATATAATGCTGATAAGCTAAATGTCAATTAGTGGCAAATAACACTTTAATATCAAGATACCAAGTTCCTAGTCATGATGATTATTATCTGACAATTTGACATAAAGATCTGACAAGTTGACATAAAGAGATCTGACAAGTCGACATAAATATCTGACAAGAAAACATAAATATCTGACAAGAAAACCTAATCATCTGACAAGTGCTTGCAGAAATATGCCACCATACAACAATGCATTTATAAAATACAAATTAATTGCTCTCTTAAAATACAAGGTATGGAGTTGGGAATATATGTAATATTATGCATAATTACATAAAGCTTTCAAACAGCTTTAAGTTGAAAAAGACACATAGAATAAATTTAAGCTAGTTTCAAATGAAAGAGATCTAGTTCTAGCTCACACTGTATTATCGCACTAATATTTTTTTCCATTTCTAGAAAATCTCAACAATTAAGGGAAATAATTCTAAACTGACCTATTCATCATGCTTTCTTGAAATAGCACTTAAAATTGAAAGAGCTACATTTCAACAATAAAAGATTGTGAAAAATCTGCTTTTTAATAGGTTTAATAGCTGAACTGTTTAAATCAGCCTTAAATCAGGCACTAAAACTTCAACAGACCAATGCAGACTCTGAATATACATTTCTCCTATAAAATGGTTGCTCTGAAGTATTGGATGTATTATTATTCATATTTTTATTACACAAGGAACTACTATCTCTATGTTGAGTTACCTTGATATCTTCTGACTTGTTTCCACCACACATAGCATGGACAGAAAGAGTAAATGGCCGCCATACAGGATTTAATGTATTCTTGATCACCTAGAAACACAAAGCATTGGATTACCTGTAAAAACATTTTCACATCATGAATTGGATAAAAGTTGAAAATAAATTGTGCCACTGGAGCAAAAAAAAAAAAAAACCTCATTGTCAAAACAAATTATTAAAAATTACAAGACAGTCATGATACATCATGTCTGTAGATGTATCAACAGACAAAGTTTGATGGTTCTTGGTCTCACAAGGTGAGATATGTCATTATGAACAGAGCATGATTTGACTTTAAGCTTTTTAAAAATTTCTAAAATTAAGTTAAGCACTTCTTTTCGGTTGCAACAAATTCCCTCCTAAGATGCACCACTTGACAAGATTTAGCTATTCAATTGGTTTAATTAATACTGTGTGCAATAATTTTCAGGCACAATTTTGACTACATGTATGTATAGACAGAATACACAAATGAGGTCATCAAGACCTACTTTTGAGTAGAGATACCACCCTCCCCCTTTCACCACGATGCATTAACTGACAATATTTGATGAAGCTTGATCTCAGATTGTGACAGAGCTAACAGGCTGATTGACAGGAAAACTGTATACTGTAATACAGCCTGTCAAATTTAGATGGGTGTATAAAAAGAAGATTTGTTTCCCTTCTTTGGCATCATCATATGTATACATACAAAACCCATATGTACATACAAAACCCAAATGATTTAATTAGTGAAAATAAAGCTAAGAGAATTAATTTTTATTGAAGGTCTACAATAACTATACTATTAATAAATCTCTAAAAAATAAGATTGTTATTACATTAAATTATGAAATTCACAATAAAGGACCATACCTCTGTCCTGTGAACAACCTGCCAAGATCCGTCAGTTGCCTTCTTTGAGATTTCCAGATAAGGATCAGACTTCCCCAAAAAATCCTGTCCAAATTTCAAAAATTTATTCTGACATAATGTTCTGTAAAAATGAGAGCACTGTTTTTCTGGCTTATCAAGATTCTAAGTTATAATTTCCATATATTTTTTGTTTAACTCCGTTTCATACTGTGATAATTTTGCTTAAATATTATTGATATGGTATGCATACACATAGGAAGAGTATTTTATATAAACAAGAAAATTTAAATTAAGATAGCAAAGACAATAACTTCAATTCCTCCTAAAATATCTTTCAACCACATCTGAATCTGATATACATGTAATTGTAATTTAACAATATAATGCCAAACTTCATCATTTAAATACTGGAAATAGTTTCCACTGACTTTTGCTTCTTCCAACATGAAAGAAAGAAACACAGGTAGCATAGAAAATGGCAATAAAAATTGAACTATAGCCATTGCTTTTAGTCTAAATCATCTCATCTAAAGACTTCTTTTTAAATTTGGGGATAAAAATGAGCCATTCCCTCTATTTATCCCACTGACCAATTTTCAAAAATTATAGTAATAGAAGACCATCATCTGACCATTAAAATAAATATAATGATATCTTACGAAAAAAAAAAAGATAAAAAGAAGATAAAGAAAACCTTGTTGTCCAGTTTGGTGGCACTGAACTTCATGTGAACCATCTCTCCTCCTTCCTTAACCTCTTCTGATCTAATCTACAAACAAAAAGTCACTAGTAAGCTAATCCGACAGTAACAAATTCTTATGCCCTGTTCACACGGAGAGTTTAATTTGAATTAAACATGAGTTACTGCGAATTGAATTTGAACTGCTGTGTTCACACGGGGAATATAATGTGAATTAGTTTAATTTGAATTAATTTACTGCGCATTAAATTACTTCACATTAGCTCTGTGTGAAAGCTAAGCGAAGCTAATTCGAATTGAATTTTTACGCATGCGTAATGGCAAAATTAAGTTACATGCCACATGTCGGTGGTCAGATATAGGTACTTCTGCTATTTTTAGTGAAAAACAGAGGAAAATTATGTTAATCAATGAAATGTGTACAGACACTATGACATTATGTCAAATGGATCTGCTCTGCATAAGGTGATGTGATTTGAAAATGCCATCATCATAGCCTTGCTGAATAGCCTTACTGTAGAAATACAATTTTAATTCGCATTAGTTTACTTCGCATTAGCTGTCGTGAACACAATTTAATTCGCATTAGTTTAATTGGCATTACTTTAATTGGCATTATTTTACTTCGCATTAATTTACTGCAAATTACACTCTCTGTGTGAACAGGGTATTAGTTCCTCATCACAAAGTTGTACTGCTAAAGATTGACAGATTTTGGGTATAACCTACATGCTGTGATCTTTCTACTGAAATCTTAATACCAAGTTACCAATACCAGTGTCTTAAATTGTGGCATCAAGGGGAAAAGAGTCAACAATGGTGCACATGATTGAACAGTGAACATCTTCTGTATTTTTAAAGTTAAGCGAGAACAAATCTTAAGTTTCATACAGAAATTGTGGATCCTCCCATGGGTTTCCCATCCTTCTTCAAAAGAGGCCCTGAGTAGGGATTCCTGGAAACTATCTGAAAAGAATTATACGTATAAGTAATTGGTTATGTTCCAAGTTTTACTGAAATTGGATCAACACTGTTAATCAACACTGAAGAATTTTTGTTATCAGTAATATAGATTGAACTGGTCAAGTCTTGTGTGACTTACCTCCCCTAAATTACATTCAATTTTGCCCAAAAAATCATCATCCTCAAGTGTTGCTGTTTCGTTATCCAGATCATACACTTCTACTTTCACTTTCTGCACTTCCTCAAAGAAGTAGTCCACTCTGAAAGCCCGTGTAAATTTTGGGTCGTGACAGTTCTTTATTAACTCTGTTCTTCCAATCTGTTTATAGAATAAGAAGAAGATGTAAGCTGTTTGAATATTTCATTGAATCATGTTTATGTTATATGCCATTATATAAACAATTACTTGTTAAACTGGATTCAAACCAGGGTGTAATTAAAAAAAATGTCACTCTGCAGTTGTGTTTGCAAAAATGCTTTAACCAACTTAATTAGCTATTCTCTCTTTTATGGATGCTGCAATAAAACTGTTCGTGATGTAACAGGAGAATGAATCTATTTTTTTGGGGGGGGGGGGAGGGGAGGGGGGTAATTTAACCCCAAAAGGCCTGCTCTAAGATGAAGATTAAACTTGACTAAAATAATCTTTGTTTAAAAAACTTTCATAAGTACAAAACTTGTTCTAAAACAGTCCTGACCTAAAGAACATTCTAACCCAAATACCCCTAAAACTGAGCCAAAAATCAACTAATCTGTAAATTACATTAAAGGATATCTTCATCAATGAAAGGGATATTACAAACATATATACATGAACAATAGATTAGCTTAAGTTAAATGTGTACTCTCTGATGTATTTTTTCCCTAGATTTTTCGTTTTCGCCAAGCCTCAACCTTTATTGTTCTCTCTCTATGATAGTGTACTATATACTTAACCTGCCGTAGCTGATTCATAACTTATCATCTATTTTTTTTAAATAAATGCAGTACACATGTACTTACTTCCTCCCAATTCTGCCCCTTTCTATTCAGCATGTACAGAGCTGCACATGGATCGGACTTGGAAAACTCATCCTTTTTCTTTAGGGCTTTACACTCTATGCGAAGTTCCACCCGAGAAACGGGTCCTCTATCAGCACCACCTAGCTGGGGTACTGGATTCATTTTGTCTGCAAAACAAATTAAAGTGATTTGGTAATTATATAAAAGAACCTTACATATTCAAGCAGTTCAAGTCATATATGGCATATTTTTGATGTACAGACTAACTAAAATTAAAAAGACCTTTCTATTTATTTTATTACTTTATATAAAGATAGAACTTTCCTGTAAATTACACAATTTAAATCAATCACGTTTCATAGATGTTAGAAATTTAAAACAATAACCGATTTATTTACCGACTCCGCATTTAAATATCAGACACAGTTTAAAGTCAATTCGCTATAGAAACGTGGAGTTATTCAAGTTCAAAATCGGTGAAAATTTTTAAGTTGAACGTAAGTAACAAATATCATGTTCATCTACACACAATCTCGTATTTTTATTTTTTAGCTCAGATACGCCGTATATAACTCTAACATGGATCCTGACCAATATGTTCAGTTGTAAGGAGAGGGATACTTGAGTTGTATTAGCTTATGACTGAAGAAGCTCACAGTTTGATGCAATTAGAATTTTATTTAGGTTTGTGTGACCTAAGATATATAATTTCAAAAAGTAATACAACAAATTTCTGAATCTATAACATTATAGGCAGAAAACCGCAATTGTTTCCAACACAACAAATAAGAGTACACATACTAGGCTAAAATTTATTTTTATACCCCCGTATCGCAGATTCGGGGGTATATAGTTTTTGCCCTGTCCGTCCGTCTGTCTGTCTGTTTATCTGTTTGTTCGCAAAAACTTTAACATTGCTCACAACTTTTGATTGGTTGGAGCTATGGCTTCCCTATCTCACATGGTATTCCTTGTGACAAGACCTTTCTTTGGGTATCATCATATTTGACCTTTCGACCTTGACCTTGGAGTTTGACCCAGTTTTACAAAATTTTACCCAACTTTAACCTTGGCCATAACTTTTGAACAATTGGTGTTAGAGCTTTCATACTTCACAAATGTAATCCTTGTAACAAGACCTTTCTTTGGATACCAACAACTTTGACCCTTTGACCTTGACCTAGGAGTTTTAACTACTTTTGAAAAACTTTTAACCTTGGCCATAACTTTTGAACAGTTGATGCTAGGGCTTTCATATTTCACATCTGTAATCCTTGTGACAAGACCTCTCTTTGGATGCCAACAACTTTGACCCTTTGACCTTGACCTTGGAGTTTGACCTACTTTTGGAAAACTTTAATCTTGGCCATAACTTTTGAACAATTGGTGCTACGGCTTACATACTTCACATATGTAATCCTTGTCCCAAGACCTTACTTTGGATACCAACAACTTTGACCTTTTGACCTTGACCTTGGAATTTGACCTACTTTTGATAAACTTTAAACTTGGCCATAACTTTTGAATGGTTGGTGCTAGAGCTTTCATATTTCACATGTGTATTTCTTGTGAAAAGGCCTTTCCTTGGGCACCATTAATTTTGACCATTTTTCCTTGACCTTGATGTTTGACTTACTTTTGGAGATTTTTAACCTTTTCCATATCTTTTAAATGGTTGCTGATAAGGCTTTCATATTTCACAGGTATATTCCACGGGACAAGAACTTACTTTGGGTACCAATATATTTGATTTGCATTTGAGAAAGTTTTACCTTCACTATAAGTTGCCATACGGGGGCATCAGTGTTTACAAACACATCTTGTTTCAATTATGTTAACCAGTGGATGTATGAACTGTAGATCTATAGTAGTAGATCCTTATCATAAAGAACAGGAAAGAAGAAGTGAATTGTTCCCTTCACCTATCCCCCACAAGTTGACACTTCCCTGTATAAGTTTTAAACAGATACCGAGATAATCCCCTGCTCTTCAATAAGGGAGGAAATATTAATCAAGTACTCCACAAACAATGTACATTGTCATCATTGACATGTACATGCACAAAAACAAGGTACAATGGACTATCCTATACTTAACTGCCCAGGCAAAATGCTTTTGAGAGTATATGACATTTTAATCAAATGATTAATCAATAATTATGCAGTTCTTTGAATCAATATAGTCTTCATTATCGTCATCAGTCATACTGTGCATGGTAAACTACATGATACAGTAGACTTTTCTATACCATGTATATGTACCTGCCAAGGAAAATGCCTTTTAATAGTCTTTGAACAACAACCAATAAATTAATATACATGTATATGCAAATTAATTAAAACTGAAAAAATAATACCAAATAACATTGAATCTAATTCACAGTTTTTTAAAAAAAATTGATTTTTTCATGAGCTTGTGAAATGCTTAATAAATATTATATTTTAAATCACTAACAGGAATATTTTTTCTTTGCATTTGCTGCATCAAACAGGTCCAACATGATCTCTTGATTTACCTAATTCAAAATAGCTTGATTAGCTATTTTATCATGTTTATCATACTTCTTTCTTAAAAATATTATTTTTTCAGAATGAAAAAAAGTCCCACTTAGATGCATCTAGAACTTATACTTAAAGCCCTAAAAGTTTCGGGGCTCTAATTGATTTGTGTCCATACATTTACTACTTAATATTATGAATTCAAATTATAAGGAGGTCAATTGTGATCAAGAAGATAATTAACAGATTAGTAATAATTGTGAAGCAATCATAGTGATACCTACTGGGTAGCCATACCGCACACAAGGTGGAATACATTTAATTATCAACAAACAGAGTTATATCTTTCAAAAGCAGCAATGCTTCAACGAAGTTAAATACTGATTGCATTATTTATGGTCCATTAATTTGTACCAATGAGTAGTCAAATACTTGTATTAATTTCTTTATTTCTTATTTAAAAGTATTTGCGAAAAAAACTGTATTGAAATAGCTATATTGCTTATTCAAATTATGTAGCTAAATCAAGAGATTGTGCTGGACGGTTCGACCTGTCAAAAGTAGTTCCAATCATGAATTTTCTGTATATATATATATATATATATATATATATATATATATATATATATATATATATATATATATATATATATAATCATATATATATATATATATATATATATATATATATATAATCAAGCAGAGGAAATTCGAACATTAAATCGATTTCAAATTAAAAAATCGTTCAGAATCAATATGATGGAATTTTACCATTTAAGAATATGTATATTACATACAATACACTGCAATAATTGTTACAAGATTGTATATCAATACCTGTTTAACTGTGTGGTTCCCTCCTTCTTCTGTGAATGCATAAGCGGTCTTGTCGAGACGTAAACAAATGACAAGGGGGCGTGTCCTAGCGGTATTGCGCAATAGTTTCTCCTTCCCTTTTTTTTCTCTCTCAGTCTCTCTTATCGCAGGAATTGCGAACTCCTGTGCTCTTATGAACATGTCTTTGAAGAAAAATTATCACTTCCAAAACTTGCAGATAAAATTAACGCGTTTTAACTCCTCTTTGGGCCGACATAAAAAAACAGTGAATGAGTGACAGCACTCAGAGAAACACCATTTTTACACTCTGACATACACACACACAATGCCACCCTTTCAGTGAAATAATAAATAAATGGATCGACATGATGTTGCCAGTTTCAAGTTCTTAAACTCTTTAATAACCATTCATGTATTCTATACATGTTGGTTGAGTCAGTATAAAACATATTCCTTTAGGTTTACATTGTGCAGTAAAACTCATAATGAAGTGCCAGGGACAGACAACTTCGCTTTTTTATAAATACTAGTATCCGTTTTCACATAATACTTTATAAATCCAGAGGGAATGAAAATCACTTCACTGTAAGCATTAATTTATAATAATCATGTTCGCTATAAGCATGTTTCACTGTACAACATATAACTGTAGGGTTATCAACTGTTCCAAAGATGATTTTGTGGCAACTTAAGTCTCAAGCAGTCACTGTCACTTTTGTATTCCATTCAATCAGATTTTTAACACTCAAAAGTTTTGTTTTTTTGTTTTTTTGTTTTTTTAAATCCTGTTTCAGCCATACAATTGGAATGAAGTCAAACTTGATTAAATGTACCGGTAGTCATGTAATTGCTCATGAGTGGAAGGTGTGTCACAATATATTGATTCAAAAGTCAAGTTCATATTAATTGAAAAAGGAAGAGATGACTGTTTTCTCCATTATGGCCTAAAGAATGATTGCCCAGTGGCCTTGACCTTTGAGATATAACATTGACCCATGACTATCAGTACTAAGACAGATTACTAAATAAAACTATTATATCTCCTCATTGAAGAAGAGTCATGATAATATTATATATCAGTCTGGAAGCAAAGTAATGTCTATGTAATTTTCTTCTGCCTAAATGTCTTTTTACTTGAATAAATTAAACATGGCATAAGGATTTTTCAAAGAAAAAGAAGAACTTTATTTCATGGATAGAATATAACATGTACATGTATAAATTAATTTATAGTGGATATGTTATAAATGCAAGTTCTGAGATTGGTTAATAAAAAGAAGTAGAGAAAAAAATCATCACAATGACATAAAATTAAGCTGTTAACGGCAATTAAAGTACCTGTATATGTACATGTAAAACTGATAGATTAAAACAAATTGCATAGATTATGCAAGATATTGAGAGGTATATATAATTTGTGTTGTATCTGAAGTTTTATATCTTAGTATTTTTCTACCTGCATGAAAACATGACATTATCATTTTAGCATTTAGACATACCTCTAAAAAAAATACATTCAAATAATCTCTACATGTAACATGAAAAACAAAACAGTTACATTCTAAACTAACATTAATAAGTAAAGATGGCCATATCAGATACTTTCTACATAAATGTACTCAAAAATGAGGTACATTATGGATACAAACAAATTTGAATCTCATGCAGGTGAATATTTCTGCAAAAATCACTTCAAATACCTCTATAATGGCACTTCATAAAGTATGCATTGTGCAACACTTAACAAGGATATGAGCCAAAATGCTGATCTGAGTCACTTTCTCTTACAAATGTGTAAATTCTGTAGCCGTTCCAAGATTTCAACAAGA